AAAAAAAACCCCAGAAGTGCTAGGCCTAAAGAACATGAATTTTTGTGTTGTATATGAAAGAAAAATAAGTTTTGAAAAGTAACATTTATTAGACTGCAGAAAGGTCTTCCAAGATTAGTACCTACTCCTCCTCGAGTCGCTAAATGTTGGCCTGGCCAACACGTCTAAGAGCAGCAGCAGTTTCACCTCCCACCGCACTGAGGATGGGATGGCCAAGACACCCTAATGCCCGGCTTTTCAGTCTTGATCCCTCTAGTTCTAGCAGGAGCTCATTTAAAGATTTACACACGATTCCTATAGAGTACCTAGATACATAATTCTGTCCCTATACAGAAGATACTTAAATATGTATTAAAACAAAGAAATGAATGATAGATGTGTGCATAAGGTAAAAATAGGCTTAAATGTTTTGCTAATTGATACAGTAACATCAGAGGCTTGGATTTTTTCTTAACATGCCAAGACATCCAAAAGGATGTCTTTAGACACAGAAATACTTCAGACACAGAAATGCTGCAGATACAAGTGTATTCTTAAGGCCCGAGCAAAATAACGCTGAGGACACAAAATATGTAACAGGAAAATTTTACCGAGTTTCAAAATGACTGATTTCCCAAGATCGGCAGCTTGTGAACAGTTTCCCTGCTTTGTGACCAGCTAAACACGGTGTTCAGCACTGACTGCTCTGCTGCTCCAGGTATGGTTCCAGAACCGAAGAGCCAAATGGAGGAAAACAGAGAGAGGCACCTCCGACCAGGAAGGCTCCAAGGAAGCAATGGCCGAGGTGGCTCCTCCTGTGAGGAATTTAAATTCCCCTTCTCCAGCAGATCAAACCAGGAATAAAAAAGAGAATCTGGAGATCCAGCAGAGGTAAGGGTAATGCGTGTATCAAGCACCTCTTTCTGAATGTGAACATGCACAAACACAGACTTGCTTCATGCCAGGCTGAGACCTGACATTTTCAGGTACAGCTCAAATCATGAGAAGATGAAGTATCTCTCTTGCAACTTATGGGCAAAAGTGCTTCCTGCAGGGATGCTAGTGGCTCTGGGAGGCTAATGTTTAGCCAGGTTCTGCTCCCATGGAGCCTGTGATCATGACACGATTATACATTTGTGTTCCCACACATGCACTGTCTTGAATCCGCTAGTTCTGTTTTTGCAAGCCATTTTCTCTTCTCCTCCAGCCTGAGTCGAGCGGTTGGTCCTACCGGACCCTTCTTCCCCTCCTGCCTGCCGGGGACTCTTCTCAACACAGCCACCTACGCACAAGCTTTGTCCCACGTCGCCTCGCTAAAAGGTAAGCGGCTTGGTTTAACTTTGGTGACGAGCTGGGGTGCATCCCTGTCAAGCTGAGGGTGTGTGCCCAGTCACGCCAGTGGAGAAGCCTGTAGGAAAGGATGGATCCTTCTGTCGGGATTGGCAGTAGGGGCACTGGTTGCGCAATGTTGCAGGTTCAGGAGTGAGTCAGCTGCTGTGAACAGTAGCATCGTTTGGGGCAAATCCCACCCCGTTGGGGTTAGCGAAGTCAAGGTTTGTCTCTAGGAGTAAGGCAGGTAGGGTTTGATTCTTTAACATTTATTTCACATGTACTTCTTTCTTTTTAGAGTCAAATTTATACTAATAAATTAGTTATACACATCCTTTTGCATTATGCATTACCTGGCACCATCGCTGGTGCCTCATCCGCTCTTTGCCTTCGCACGATGGATCTCTGCTTGATGGCAGCGCTTTCCCCTCCTCAATAGCAAGACTTCCCGAGATCATGAATAAAGCGTGTATGTGGGGATAAGGAGTATACAAAGCAATTCCTCATTTCCTGCGAGCCAAGCATCAAGAGGGTACATCCAGTACCCATACTCCTTTAAGTGCCCAAAAAGCAGTGGTATGCATCTTTTAAAAATAAATCACCAGCTTATCCATTAGTTGCTCCTCATCTAACAATTTGTAAGTCTAAGGGTGTAA